GGTAAGAGCCTCCATCCCTACCTCCTTCCCTCCTGTCCCTCTCCCCCAGCCCCAAGAGGATAGTGAGGTCCACGATGCTTTTTGCTCTTGACCTCCAAAACCTCATGTTCACACCCCGTTTGTCCTCCCCGCTGCAGGAGACTACTGGATTGACCCGAACCAGGGCTGCACCTTGGACGCCATCAAAGTTTTCTGCAACATGGAGACAGGCGAGACCTGTGTCTACCCCAACCCCAGCAGCATTCCCAAGAAGAACTGGTGGACCAGCAAGACCAAAGACAAGAAGCACGTCTGGTTTGCAGAGACCATCAATGGCGGTTTCCACGTAAGTGTCCCCCTGGGCTGGAGCTACATACCGGGAGCGGGAAGGGAGGTTGAGGAGGGGAAGGCGTTGGGTGTCTGGTTGGAGGGTTGGGATGTCCTTCTTGGGTTTATGCTGATAGATGTTGTATGAAGGACCGGCTGTTGGAGTTGGGTCAGTTGGGCTTTGATTTTTGTAGCCATCCAGGAACATCAAAAATCTAGGTCCCCTCAAAAGGTGCCTGAAAATAGGGGGGTTGTGACACCAGCAGGCTTTAATCTCTCGCCTCTTCCCTCCAGTTCAGCTACGGCGATGAAGACCTGGCTCCCAACACCGCCAACATCCAGATGACCTTCCTCCGCCTCCTGTCCACCGAAGGCTCCCAGAACGTCACTTACCACTGCAAGAACAGCATCGCCTACATGGACGAGGAGACGGGCAACCTGAAGAAAGCCATCCTCATCCAGGGATCCAATGACGTGGAGATCAGAGCCGAGGGCAACAGCAGGTTCACGTACAGCGTCTTGGAGGACGGTTGCACGGTAAGTCTGTGGGCACCTGTGAGAGAAAGACGTGGATGATGAGTTGGGGTTCAACTTGTGAGGTTGCTGTTGGTTTGGAGGGCTCAAGAGCATCTAATGACATCCTTCGTCCTCGTTTTCTCCCCAGAAACACACTGGCAAATGGGGCAAGACAGTCATCGAGTACCGATCACAGAAGACCTCGCGCCTGCCCATTGTAGATATTGCACCTATGGACATTGGTGGAGCCGATCAGGAGTTTGGCGTGGATATTGGCCCAGTCTGCTTCTTGTAAAAAAGAATTGTTTTATTTGTGTGTTTGTTTGTTTGTTGTTGTTTGTTGTTTGGTTTGTTGTTTTGTTTTGGTTTGTTTTTTTTAAAAAATCCAGCCCAATACCATAAAAGAAAACTAAAAACCCCAAACCAACCCCCAAGGACCTGAGTACTTTCCAATCGCTCGTACGACTTCTGCACTGAATGGCTGCAACGACCCCCCTCGATTCACGCCCTTCCGTCGGGGACCACCGCCTCCTCTTTCCAACGCCGTCTGGGCAGGCTGCGAATTAAAAAAACAAAAAAAAAACAAAAAAAAAAACAAACCCTGAAAAATAACCCACGGTCTTATTTATTTATTCTCTTCCTGTAAGACCTATTTTATTTAGGTCAGGTGGAGGCGGGAATCGAACTGGCAGGTACGATGGCCCTTCCCCGCAAAAGGGATCCCACAAATCCAGGTATCACGAATCCCCTCCCGCCCCCCGGCCCCCCCCCCCCGCGTCTACGAGCTTTGGTTTTTGTCGCTCACCGGGAGGCGTTTGCTGCGGTCGAACTCCTTTCTCCACGTCTCTCAGCCGTGATAAAGGAAGGGTTTGGGGTGAAATCGTCAACTTTTCTGGGTTGAGGCTACGTCGCGCTGAAGGGAAAAAAGAAACAACACAAATAAATCCCCCAAAAGTCAAAAAAAAACGGGGGGGGGGGGGCAGAAAATTTTAAGGGAAAAACCTTGAAAAACTAGGAGGCACCACAGCAGCTGCGAGACTAGGAGGCAACACAGCAGCTGCGAGGTTTCTCTTAAGGGATCTCCTGTCCCACTGCACCCCAAAACAGAACTGGGGTGAGTCAAGGCAAGCGCTCGCACCCCCAGTTAAAGGAAACCAGTAAAACCAGTGGGGAGGGGGGATGCTGCAACCGATCCTCATGCAAATCAACATGACCAGGGCCAGGGGGTGCCCTCTAAGCCTCCTCCCCATCCCTCCCCCCCCCCTGCTGGAATTTGTCCCGTTTTGTACGTGGAAAAAAAATAGAATTTCAGGATCTATTTTGCAATAGGGTAGGCGGCAGAGTCCATCGCGTGCACACGCCGACGTCCTGTAAAGCAGCTGCGCCTTTATGGTTTTATAAAGAGTTACATATGTAAATTCTTCTCTTAATTAGAGGAAAAGCCTCAGTAGTTGAATTTATTTTATTTTATTTTTTAACTTTCTTCAAGAACAGCAGCCCACTGAGTTACAAACAGGCTTGAGCTTCACCTGGGGGATGGAAGGGGCAGCGAGTTTATGAGTTCCATGACAGAGCTTTTGTTAACATCTCCACTTCTCACCTCCGCTGAGAGCACGGGCCCTGTGGTTTTTCATTAAGAGAAGTTACAACTTTAAAGGATTAAAAAAAAAAAAAAAAAGCCTTTTTTAAAAAAAAAAAGCTACTTTGGGGCCCTCATCTCAATTTTAAACACTCACAGCTGGCAGGGGCAGCAGCAACCGCTCCTGCTAAAGCACCTGAGGCAGCCTGGGATCTTTCAAAAACATTGGCAGAAGAAATTCATTAAGAAGGATTGGAGGATTAGGGAGGATTTTCAAAATAAAATGCCCTTTAAAAGGCCAAGTGCTTTGCCACACGACCAAGAGGGCAGCCCTAATTCTCAGCGCTCTGGCTCACCGCTGCCGCACAAGTAATTTGGGGCAAAGCCCTTCCCCTGTTCAGATTTAGGGGTCCTGCTGCAGGCACCCAGGGGGTGCCCCCCCCGGAATCACCCAGGTGAAAGCAACCCCCTGCAGCAGGGGCCATGAGGAGCAGGAGAGCCAAAGATGACAAGGCAGGTGGGAAGAGGAAATGTTGGGGAGCAGGAGGCTCCGTCACCCTGCAAGGGGAACCCCAAATCAGCCAGGACTGAGCCCTGCCGGGCTGCCGGGAGGGAAGAAGCTCAGGAAAGGAGAGGGATAAAGAGCAAAGTTTGTGACTTCCTCATCTGCCTTAAAAAAGAAAGTTCAACTCATCATAAATCGGTGGGTTTACGGAAGTCGGGCAAAAAACTCGTGACCGAGATTGTCAGGGACCCTGCAGCGTGACAAGGACTGAGGTTGGGGGGGTGACTCCGGTCACCGGTCCCAACCGCCCCAGGTGGGCAGGGAGGTGCATTGCTACTCCCCCATTGAATTTCTTTGCCCCTGTTCCCCAAAAATCATCAGCAAGAGAACAGGTACTTCTGGGCACGATACCAGTCACAGCACAGAGCGTGAGCTCTAGGACAAAGTTTGATTTCTGCAGGAGAAAGCCAGAGCTTTTCTTCAGAGGACGCTGCATAACACCCCCCCACTGGGCTTTAATAAGTAGAACTCTCTTCTAGAAACCCCGCTAGGCAGAAATGCCCCTTCTTAAAAATAAAGTGGTTTTTTTATTTCACACACCCTCCTGTCCAACAGGCAGCCAGAGAAAGGTGTCGGTGCAGGCAGGGAGGAGACGAGGGTGGCTGTAGCGCTCGAGTTCCAGAAAAACTACAAAGGGCAGAAGCAGGATGAA